TTATTTTACCTGAATAAATATGTAATTAAATCACACACACACACACATCATCATCACCATCAAAGACGATCTACGCTATTTTTGTCAGAATGTTAAAGACTATCCGTACGTCTGGGGTCATTTTGTACCCCTGGGGTTGTATTCTTCACATTTTAAAATACTTCTACTTCTAGACTCTAGTGCAAAGATTTCTGAAACTTTCAGCATTTCTCAAAAAATCATTTTGACAGACTGCTATGCAAAGCATACGGAACGGAATAACAAGTAAAGTTCCTCTTTGGAAAGTGGTGGCACAGAATTCCCCACGTCGTATGGATTCGATAGTAAAACACGACGTACGGATAGGGTTAAAGACAAGACTCAGCACAAGCCTCAACAGAGACAAAAACAGCTCTTCCTTTTCACAAATCAGCTTAAAGTAGCACACATACAATTTCGAGGTACACATTGTTTTAGTTTTAGTAATAGTTTTACGGCACCAGCAACAATAAGGTCATATAAGTGCCAAAGATTAAAGGTGTTACAAGAGAGTAACAAACTGGGTACACATTGTGATTTCCCAAAAAAACAATTACAGAGCAAAAAGAAAAAACCCACTTGTGTAGAGCTGATACAAACTGAAAATCATATGTGTCATGACGCGGTGGAATCAGGCGCTCGTCAATTTTTGGGCATGAGGAGTTCTTGGTATCACATGAAAGCTGATAAATTTTCCTTGCTTCCTATAAAATGAATATCCATTTATCTTGGATAGAACTCCAGATATTTGTGATTGAAGAAAGTGAAGTTGCCTGATTTCAGTGGTGAAATTAGCGAGAAAATGGTCACTCAAGTTTGGTAACTTTACTAACTAAAGAGTTTTCGACAACAGAAAAATGAAATATTTTGTGACTTTAAACAATGTCTTCCCTTAAAATCCACACAAAAAAGTGTTTCTGAATGGACATAAAAGGTGTTGAGCCAAAAAACAAAAATTCCACCAAAAAATTCCAAACTGGTGGAAAAATGCCAGTTTCTCCGATTTCTATATTTTGACGAGCGGCTGATTTCACCACACTGCCTCACATATTTTATGGACAAAAACCAGAATCTGGGGCCAGAACAAAATTTTAAAAATCTGTAAGAATGAATGAATGTCAGATCTACTACGCCCTGTTTAAACTGAAAATTCCACTTTTAAAGAAAAAGTAGAAATGCTGAAATATTACTCTTAAAGTCACTAACAGAATCTTTACCACTTTATTGCTCAAAATTTGTTAGCACAATATGTACAGTGAGTAGAGAACCTATTCTGCTCTATTTCAGTTTCTTTCTTCAGGAGCATGCAAGTGGTTGTGAGTCAAATAATTTTTCATCAGCAAATACACATTTACCTATTTAAAAAATATAAAGCAATCAGTCACATCGCTCTTCCTTTGTAGAAAAAGCACTAAATCCAATTTTCCTAGTGGCAAAATAAAAAAGGTACTTAACGATTGGAAGGGACTGAATATGTAAAACTACAAAGGTAGTGTGCATCTAACAGGCTGCACTATTGTAAGCACCCAGGGAATTGAAAATTGTAAACTGGAATGTTCTCACTCCAAAAAAAGGAGATAAAGAAGAACATGGAGTAAAAAAACAGGATGATCAATTGAGTTAGGAAACAGAATGAAACTTTCACTACCTTGTTTTAACGCTTTGAGGACGTATCTTTGACAATGCCTGCAGACGAGATGTTTTACGGCATTTTCAGAAAGAGTCATTTCTACGTCATTCATTCAAATTCTTCCCTCCTGTTTTCTTCATTTGAAACTTAAAAGATCAGCGATAACCTATATGTATTATGAGCTAAGAACATCTGCGTTTTAGATTTGTTTATGGTGGTTGGAAATGTCCCGAAACATTGAGTTTGATCAGCTGCTGGTCGGACCGATGTGTCCGCTACGTCCTTGTAGAGTTAAGGAAATAAAAACAAACGGCACAGTAACTGGTAAAAAAAAAGGGGGAAACATTAAACAACAATGCTGCCTTTACATTGAACTCAAGCAGTTGTGTTGAATTACACAGGTACATCTTGGGTAGAATGCAAAGCCAACATCCTCTCATGGTCATTTTCCTATCGACATTATTGACACAGTGGAAAAACTGGAGTGTTGGAGGTGTTAAGCTCTAACAATGTAACTGGCTTCTCGTAAATTATTTTGAACTGCAACAAAAAAGACCGTTTTGATTTAGACAACTTAAAAAGACACAAAAACCTAATCTGTAATAAAGAAATCATTACTGTAAACGATTCATTCCAAGTACAAGTTTTATTCATCTTCCTTTACAAGCATTCGAAACACATGTCCATTCTGTTGTTATCCCCTAGAAATGTTTTATGTTTTGTTTTTCTTATATAGAAAGGCAACTTCTTCTATGCCAAAGAGATAGATGCTGCAATTAAGTTAATCAAGACACATTGGGTTTTTTTTAGCAACACAGTATTTCTTCATGAAGCATTCTCAGCACAGAACCAAAGATGTCTGTGATTATACTGATACCTAGAATCAATCTCTTTCCAGTCCGACAAAAACATGTCTGTGATACCTAGTATCAATCTCTTTCCAGTCCGACAAAAACATGTCTGTGATATCTAGTATCAATCTCTTTCCAGTCTGAAAAAAAAGATGTCTGTGATACCTAGTATCAAACTCTTTCAACTCTGAACAAAACAAAAAGCCACAGATCAGGTAAAAAAAAGTGTCAAGAAAAAAACAAGGCTGAATATGAAAATATATTCAAAATAAAACTAAATCTAACTTTTTTAAAAATCAAACCAAAGTGAAAGAACTTTTCCAAGTACAGATACACACTGGAAATAAAAACTGTAGGTAAAAGCTAACTATGACAAAAAAATATAACAACACAAGTAGGTAGAATATAGCAGATATTTTTTTTTTTTAATCTCTCAGCTTTTGAAATACAACATCAGCTTTTCTGTAGACCTAAATCTCATGATCAAAAAGGACATTCTCTTCACACCAGAAGTACACAACTTTTGCAAAGTTAAAAACAGTTTCATTTGTCATTAGAAAAACCTGCAAAGTCCATAATCAGCATCTTGGGTAGGATGCAAAGCCAACATCATCTCACGGTCATTTTCCTAGCGACATTATTGACACAGTGGAAAAACTGGAGTGTTGCGGGTGTTAAGCTCTAACAATGTAACTGGTTTCTCGTAAATTATTTTGAACTGCAACAAAAAAAAGACCCGTTATGATTTAGACAACTTAAAAAGACACAAAAGTTAGCCCACACAACATATTTAGTTTATCTAGTACATGTCAACTCCTGATTTTTATTAAGGGCAAGCAAAACGACCTCTGTAAAGGTTTTGAAACAAAAGAGTTGAGCTACTGACTTCAACGTATTAAGTTAAGTACCACTTGCAAATTTGGCTAAAATTCCCCACGGAATCTCGTGCTAAAAAAAGGTGGTTTTGCCCTTTTAGCTGTCCCCGTCGTTTTAAGCAAGAAAAATTCTGAAATTATGCAAACTGAGCCCAAAAATATGAAATTATTCGATTGTCAATTTTAACAAAGAATTACAAAAGGAAAATAATCAGAAATTATGCAAAAAACGATCAAATTTAGCTAAATTATGTGGGGTGCATAAAACCACGGGGACAGTTTTACGAGGCATTGCAGTACGCATTGTTAACTCAGTAACACTTTCAGAGCAAAAGAATTTGAAACGTTCCTTGCTGTCTTTTTTTTTCTGATTTCTGAAAAACAGGGCTGTCTGTCAAGGTAAGGTGGTCCTTATCTTTTGTTGAAGTGTGTATTTCTTCCAGTTACGTGGTTAAAACACAACACCATCAGAGAGCTTGGAATGTTTCACATACTCCAGAATCAAGAAAACTGTCACGTCCATACAGAGAGAGTTCATGGTCGTAAACGTAATACGTCTCTATCGACATAGTTTAGACAATTTACAATAATCTAAAATCAAGAATACTGTCATGTCCATACAGAAAGAGTACAAGGTCGTAAACGTAAAGCGTCTCTATCGACACAGTTTAGACAATTTACCATAATTTAAAATCAAGAATACCGTCATGTCCATACAGAAAGAGTAGGCCTACAAGGTCGTAAACGTAGAGCGTCTCTATCGACATAGTTTAGACAATTTACCATAATTTAAAATCAAGAATACTGTCATCTCCATACAGAGAGAGTACATGGTCGTAAACATAAAATGTCTCTATTCTATCAACATAATTAAGACAATTTACGATAATTCAAAATCAAGAATACTGTCATCTCCATACATGGTCGTAAACGTAATGCGTCTCAAATCTATCAACATAATTAAGAGACAATTTACCATAATTTAAAATCAAGAATAAAATCCTCTCAGTCCAGAAAGAGTCAATGATCGTAAAAATAGCGTACCCTGTCATCAACGTAACGTTAGACGAGCTACAAAGCCTGCTGCCTCCACCCTGACTTCTTGGGCCAACTCGATGGCGGCAACAACACAACATCCCAGAGGCAAGACTGAGATGCTGGTTAAAACTACTGTCTCGTACCGGCAGCGAATTCACATCGTCTGTACGCAACAGTGACAAGCCTCACTATATTATACTATAGACATCAGTGGAGAGAATTTGCTGTATAATTTATTGTATAATGTTTTTTAGTTTAGATTTAGTAGAGTTTTTACGGCGCTCGCAACTGTATAAGGTCATATGAGCGCCAGTATAATGTTTTAAGAGTAAAGAATGGCAATTAAGTGAAGAACAAATAATACATGGATAAAACCTAAACCTACACCTACTTGAAAAAAATTAATGGAATATAGGGGTTCAACTGCCAAAAGAAAATAAGAGGAAGAAAAACAAAAAAAAAGCATTAAGAAAAATTATCTACGATAACAACCTTCTCATCTAGATTCAGCTCAAAAAAGAAAGATACAAAGAACAAACAAAAGTACTTGTAAATGATGATGATCTCGACCACCTTTTTCATGAAACCTTTTTTTTTTGGTCCCGTGCCTTTAACTACACTTAGTAAAACGAGGTGAGTTTGATTTCTTACATTTTTGAGCCACTTCTGTTAGTTTTATGTCATTTTTTAAAAATTCATTAAGATCACAATGAGCCTGGCGAGTTAGAAAGATGTCAAAAGCCACTGGCTAAATTTCTCTCTCATCATACATTTTCTGATTTTGCAGAAAGAAATGATGGAAAAATCACAGACACGGGCTAGACACAATACCATCATCTGTCTCTTCACAGCCTATCGCGACGTCAAGGCTTTCTTGCCCTCTCTCCAGTTTTAATAACGGTGATTACAGTTCACAACAAAGAGTGAGCTTAAGAAGAAGTCGCATTTTCAAGGTAAAAAAAAACTCTCCCCCCCCCCCCCCAAAAAAATGGAATTTAGGACAAGAAAGCACTGAGGTCATGATATGTTGAAGAGAAATGGATTTTGAAATGATTGTAAACATGCCTTGTGCCCCATTGACACAATTTCCATGATAGAAAGGGTGATTGTAATGATTGTATAAACTCCCGCTCCACACAAGTTTGTTTTCACGATCCCGGGTCCTCCATTCTTCCCTCGCCCAGTCGGTCAGGTGGCGTCTTTCTCCCTCCTTCCCTCACTCACTCAGTCGTGGGTCCTCCATCCTTCCCTCACTCACTCAGTCGCTCAGATGTGGGCCCTCCATCCTTCCCTCACTCACTCAGTCGCTCAGATGTGGGTCCTCCATCCTTCACTCATTCAGTCACTCCCTCACTCAGGCGGTCAGGTGTAGATCTTCCTCCCTCCTTCCTTCACTCACTCACTCAGTCGTGGGCCCTCCCTCCTTCTCTCACTCAGTCAGTCAGGTGCAGATCTTTCTCCAGCAGTTTGACCGTCGTGCTGTGCATCACGGCCCGCTGAGCCAGGAAGTTGTCAATGGCCCTGTGCCGCACTTCCACCCACGCGTACATATCCCTGGGGAGATAATAATAATAATAATAATGATATAATAATAATAATAATAATAATAATAATAACAATAATGATACAAATAATGATAATAATATTAATGATAATAATAATAATAATAATAATGATAATAATAATGATAATAATAATGATAATGATAATAATAATAATTATTATTATTATGATAATATAATATAATATCATTATAATAATAATAATGATAATAATAATGATAATGATAATAATAATTATTATTATTATTATGATAATATAATATAATATCATTATAATAATAATAATAATAATAATAATAATAATAATAATAACGTTAATAATAATAATGATAATGATAATAATAATAATAATAATAATAATAATAATAATAATAATAATAATGATAATGATAATAACAATAATAATAATAATAATAATAATAATGATGATCATTTCTACAGCGCCCACTCCCGTGTTAACACAGCTCTAGGCACTTTACATAAATGCATGTAGGAACTATATTCAGGCTCACGATACACACACACACACACACACACACACACACACACACACACACATCTTCTTGCTTATCACACGTGCACGCTTACACATCGTTACGATATGAGAACATACAAATACATAATGAAATAATATACACAATGCAATTCGCAAAATACATAAATGGACACATAGACAACCACAATAGATGAAAATCCCTGGGGAGATAACCACAACAGATGAAAATCCCTGGGGAGATAACCAAAACAGATGAAAATCCATGGGGAGATAACCACAACAGATGAAAATCCCTGGGGAGATAACCACAACAGATGAAAATCCCTGGGGAGATAACCACAACAGATGAAAATCCCTCCCTGGAGAGACAATCACAACAGATGAAAATCCCTCCCTGGGAAGACAACCACAACAGATGAAAAAAAAATGTCAACTTGTGATTGTCAATGTTTTATGCACTCTCTGAACAGTTTAGATTTAAATTTTGGAATCACTTTATTTTTAAATGGCTACGCCTACAAGAAAAAACCTCTTTTTCTCGAGACTGCTGTGAAATCAGGTGGTTTGGACATCTCACACGTATGGCACCTCACCAGCTCCCCAGTAAAAGCCTACAAAAGAAAAGTATCACTGTACAAGGCAAGAGGAAGACCAAGAAAGACCTGGATCCAGGGAGTGAAGGATACCCTGAGAACATACAATATCCCACCCAGCCAGGCCATCAAACTTGCTAGAGACAGAAAGCGTTTCCTCCCCTCGACGCCCTAGAGGTACAAGAGGACGGATAGAGTAAAGTCAGTAAGTGAGTGAGTAAGCTGTGAAGACAAAATGTGAGGCAACGTGGTGGAATCAGGCTCTCGTCAATTTTTGGGCATATTGAGTTATTGGTATCATCTTAAAGCTTGTTCATTTGTCTTGCTTTCAATGACAAAATTACCCATCCATCTTCTATAGAAGTGGAGATATTTTGGATTGAAAGACGTGGGGGTCACCTGATTTAAGAGGTAAAATTAGCGAGAAAGTGGCCGCCAAAGCTTGGTAAATTCCAAAGCTGGTGAGTCCATGGAAACTGTAAATTTATATTTTTGTGCCTTTAATCAACGTTTTTGCTGAAATCCTCAAAAGGAATGTGTTTGTAAATGGACATAAAAGGTGTTAAGCCAAATAACAAAAATTTGATAAAAATTGCTAAGCAGGGGAAAAACTGTTGTTTTCTTCGATTTCATTATTTTGATGAGAGCCTGATTCCACCACGCCGCCTCACAAATAGGCGTTTTGTCAGCTTACGGCAGAACAGCAGTACTCACCTGTACAGCGGGCGGACAAACTTCATCCGTCCCTGCTCGTTGACAAAGTTGAGGACGTACGGAACGGCCTCTCTCCACTGCACCTTCAGGCAGAGACGCAACCAGCTGGGGAACCCAAAGGGGGAAAGAAAACAACCAATTATTCAGAAGTCTTTTCCACCTTTGTACACAGCCAGTTTTCATTATAATAGTAGATAGCATTTGTATAGCGGAAATCTGCGCTCAACGGCAAGCTCTATGCGTTTCACAATCTATACTATTACCCCAGCAGACCTGAGAGCATTCTGAAACAACCTCAACTTCCTGGGAAGCAGCCATTTTTAGGCGCTAAAACACTAACATACTGACAAGATCTTTCGCTGTCTGTGGCCGGGTGCCCATTCCCACCTGGGTGAAGTGAGGAAAATGTTCTTTCACCCCGATGCCTCCCCCTCCCAATGTTCTTTCACCACCATGCCTCCCCCTCCCAATGTTCTTTCACCACCATGCCTCCCCCTCCCAATGTTCTTTCACCACCATGCCTCCCCCTCCCAATGTTCTTTCACCAATGTTCTTTCACCGCGATGCCTCCCAATGTTCTTTCACCAATGTTCTTTCACCGCGATGCCTCCCAATGTTCTTTCACCAATGTTCTTTCACCGCGATGGCTCCCAATGTACTTTCACCAATGTTCGTTCACCGCAATGCCTCCCCCTCCCAATGTTCTTTCACTGCGATGCCTCCCAATGTTCTTTCACCGCGATGCCTCCCAATGTTCTTTCACCGCGATGCCTCCCAACGTTCTTTCACCTACGTTCTTTCACCAATGTTCCTTCATCCCAAAGCCTCTCAAATGTTCCTGTACTTACACAAATCTGATCTCCGAGTTCCTCACACTGTTGAAGTGATAGACCTCCTCCAGCTTTTGGACTTTGGCCAGGGAAATCTGTGGCTGCGTGTCAGACAAAAAACAAACACAGAGAATGTTTCACACCACCTTCGACACAACTTAGACAATTTATTACTGGCAGTGTATACAGACAAAATAAAAAAGTAGACTAAATCTTTCAATCCACTAATACCACAACTCAGACAATTTACCTGGCAGTACGTACATGAAATCCAAATGAGATGTTTTTTAGTTAGAAGAAAAGGAAGTAATTAATTAGTATAAGTAGAGTTCTATCCTATTCATTTGCTTAAATTTTAAATCAACAATAATTTTCAAGCCGTAATTTCAAAGTGCTTAAATTTTAGTTTTAGTAGCAGTTTTACGACACTTGCAACACAATAAGGTCATATAAGTGCCGAAGATAAGAGGTGTTACAAGAGAGTAACAAACATAAAAAAGAAGGAGGAGAGATAAAGATGATAGATGCTTGATAGAAAAGAAGGAGCAAACCACACCAGAGCACCCACCAACCACTCACAGTCAATACCTGCATGCCAATATAGGCGCACACATGTACAAAAGATTTTAATCACTGGCACAGTCAGTAGATGGGGGGGGGGGTACTACACACCTCAACGCTGCTTAGCGAAGACAGGAACTCTTTGATCAAGAGACTGGAAACATTTTCAAGGTCATTCGGCGAAAAACAGTCCAAGTTAGAGTCCGGCTGCGCAGCCCAACGAGCACTGAGGTCGAGAACAGGCCGTGCAAGACTCAAGTCGTAACTGAAAAAGTGGAGGGTGGGGGGAGGGAAAAAGGAATGTTATGACCGAAACAAATTTTTAAAACCACAAGTCTCTCTCTTCTTCCACATCATTTACATCACTGTGATCAAGCCATTTTGTTTCAGTTTTTTTTAAATTTATACATCCCACTAAATTCCTACCTTAAGAGGATCCGCAAGGATACCCCACCCAACTGCCTGTTGTGTGACTGCCAGGATGAAACAGTATCACACCACAATCACGGTCTTCATTTGAGTAGAAACACAACATAATGATTTGCTTGTGTCGTACTCAGCTGTTTCGACATATCGGGCAAAAAGCTTGCTTTTTCTCATATCCGTGTGTTTCTGATCCCCTATCCCCACCCACCTCCCACTCCCCAACTGCAAGTGGCTATATTTCTGAAACCAAAGCAGTGAGACCGAAATTGCTTCCACCCCCCACCCCCCCCCAAATCCCATTTGTAGGGCCTGAAAAGATCTTTAATCTGATACCAACAGTGTTATGTTATGTTGTCAACATGAGACATCCGACTCCTTTCATCCTGTTGCGACACATTTCTGAACATCAAAATAAGTCAACTCCTTCTCTTCCAGAATGTCACATTAGTCGTACAGAAAGCAAGGAAGTTGGCTCATATACAGAAGGTGGTTGGGGTGTGCCAGTGTTGTGTCGTCTTTCTTTAACTCTCATTTTGTAGTTTCTACATTTATTGCTCTTGCTCTTTCCTGTCCTTACGTCATATTATTAGTCGTAGCAGAAGCCGCAAGTTATCTTTACCACCCTTATTTCTTCTAATTCTCTTCAACCCTATCCGTACGTCATGTTTTACTATCGTATTCATACGATGTGGGGAACTCTGTGCCACCACTTAACCCTATCCGTACATCATGTTTTACTATCGTATCCATACGATGTGGGGAACTCTGTGCCACCACTTAACCCTATCCGTATGTCGTGTTTTACTATCGTATCCATACGACGTGGGCAACTCTGTGCCACCACTTTCCAAAGAGGAAATTTACTTCTTCATCCAATCCCTACACTTTGCAATAGCAGTAAGTCAAAATGATTTTTTGAGAAATACTGAAAGTTTCAAAGAGATCTTCAAACTAGAAGTATTCTAAAATGTGAAGAATACAACCTCGAGGGTACAGAATGACCCCAGGGCGTACGGATAGGACGGTTAAGAAATATTCTCTTCTGCAGATGCATTGGTCGTTGTCAGACATTGACGGACTAACTATTATTATTATTATTATGATTACACATTTTACATATATATATACAGGTACGACAGGAAGGATGATGTATGGCCACATGAATAAACCACAGGTCACAGATCCAATCAATGAGTTGAGGAGGGGAGATCAATCCATAATCTTCCAACTTAGAACATAACATGCACCCCTCAATCAACATCTCAACCGAATTGGAGTAAAGCAGTCTGCTGCCTGCCCACTATATGACTACCCCTCAGAGACAGTGGAACATCATCTGTTCTTCTGTAGAAAACTAACTGATTTAAGGGGATGTTACCCTACATATCTAACTGCCTCTACTCCTCAAGACAACAATTAGAACAGACATGCAGCTATTACAGAATGGCATCATGCAGAAGAGTTAACGCTCAGATGCTACTGGATCGCTAACAACATGTGAGGCAGCGTGGTGTAACCAGGCTCTCGTCAAAATAATTTAAGTGAAGAAACTTGCATTTTCCGCAGGTTTGTGAATTATTATCAAATTTTTGTTTTTTGGCTCAACACCTTTCATGCCCATTAAAGAACTCATTTCTGTGTGGATTTTTCTGAAAAATGTTGATTAAAGGCACACACGTACTCTTAAGATAAGGAAATAACTAATCTTTGGCGGTCATTTTCTCACTAATTTTACCTCTGAAAACAGGTTAACCCCACCTCCTTCTTTCGCAAATATCTCGACGTGTATTCAAGATAAATAGATATTTTTTTTCATCCAAATAAAGACAAGTGAATAAGCTTTAAGATGATACCAATAACTCTACATGCCCCAAAATTAACGAGAGCCTGATTCCACCACGCTGCCTCACATATATATATGGCCGTACTTTGGCTGGTAGGGTGGCATCCCAGTTTCGAACAACCACTTGTCCCAGTCAACAGAGTTCAGCTTGTCTTGGTCAGCCTAGGTAGGAAGGAGGAAAACACAGAACATATGGTCGCTTTTAAGGACAAGCGGGCTAACCCAGATTTCGGGGGGGGGTCCAGAAATCTTGATCCACACCAAAAGTGGGCATTGCCCTACCTATAGGACAAGTTTGGTTTCATTGGTGTGGATATTTGTTTGGTTATAGAGAAAACTCTCCTTGTCTTTTAAAAAAACTGAATATGGGGCAAAAACTTTACCTTCGATTTTCTCAAAACAGCATTTTTCGGGATAGCCCCCTTGTGCTTAAAAGCGACCATATGAGAAGCGTTCTGACAAAATGAGTGACTTCTCGAAATCCACAAATGGAAATACTGGCCAAAAATTTATATCGTTAGGGTCAAGTGGGCACATTTTCTAATGATGCCATATCCTTTAACTACAACAAGTATTTTACTATTTCATACTTATAAAGTGTAAAAACTTCACCTGTAAGCGTGATGTGTCCATTTCCATAGGGCTCGAATCCGAGAAGTAACTCATTTTGTCAGCACGCTTCACATACAGTAATAATAATAATAATTGCATTTATATAGCACATATCCATGCTCAAACTTGGCTGGTGCCTCTATAAATAAATCATTGATGGTCTGGTATCCATGCTCAAGAGCATGCTCTAAGCGCTTTACAACTATTATTACCCCAGCAGACCCTCTGAAAACACTCAGAAACATTCTCGGCTTCCACGGAAGCATACAGTGCAAGCTGCGGATTTCACGCACTCAAACACTATCAAACTGACAAGATCGTTCACTGTCTATAGCCAAGTACCCATTTCCACCTGGGTGAAGTGAGGAAAATTTGTGCAAAGTGCCTTTCCCAAGGACACAACGTTGGGCCCCTCACGGGATTCGAACCCACGACCTTACGGTTGCGAGAGCCTAACCACTAGGCCACCGATGCCACTACAGTACATGTATACATTTATGTATGTGCTTATGTATGCCCTTGTATAGCAGATTTGATCTATTACATAGCAGTTTGTTTTTACAGATCAGCAAGGTAAGATATTGTGTTCATGGAGAAGCCACCGTGCCCTATTTTCTTCAAGCTTTATTCTTTTTAAGTAAGAGGTTTAATGGCTCTTGGAACACAATTAGGTCATATAAGTGCTGAAGATTAGAGATGTTACCAAAAAGTAAAAAGTACAAAAAAAAAAGAAGTAGGAGAGATAACGACAACAGATGTTTCATAGAACAGAATAACATAGCAGCACATGTGGAAATTTATAAATGATAACTGATAACACAAAACGACTAAGAGCTGTTAGCGGGAGTAACATATAAAGAAAAAAGTATGAGAAATAATGATATGCGAGGCATCGCGGTGAAAATAGGCGCTCGTCAAAATAGTGAAATTGAAGAAACGGGCATTTTTCTATTCGTTTGGCAATTTTGTATTTTGACTCAATACCTTTAAGGTCCATTAAAAACACATTTCTGAGTGGACTTTACTGTAAAATGTTGATTTAAGGCACAAAAAATAGAAATTGCTGTAGCGGCCATTTTCTCGCTAATTCTACCTCTGAAACCAGGCAACACCCACCTCCTTCAATCGCAAATATCTCCACTTCTATTTATGATAGATGAGTATTTTTTTTTCACCAAAAGCAAGACAAAAGAACAAGCTTTAGAATGACACAAACAACTCCACATGTCCAAAAATTGACGAGCGCCCGATTCCACCGTGTCATAAAAATAGAAACAAAATTGCTTTATTTTATCATTTCTAAGATATAAAATCATAATAAAACAGAAATAGGTTGCTTGTGCTGCTACTGCAGCATATCAACAACACAAATTATACGCCACAAACACAGAGAAATGGGTTTTCTAGAAGGAGTACTTTTACTTTTACTTTCAGTAGAAGTTTTACGGCGCTCGCAGATGCATAAGGTCATATGACCGCCAGAAGATTAGAGGTGTTACAAGAGAGTAACAAACATAAAAAAAGAAGAAGGGGAGATAGGACGATAGATATTTTATAGGAAAGAAGAAGCAAACCACACCAGAGCACCCGCCAACCACCCACCAGAAGGAGTACAAAACAATACTGCATCACATATAATGTAAAACACTGTGGTTCTGGCTGGAATCATTCGTGGGGAACGCTGATCAAGATGGCCCAAAACAGACAGAGCTGGAGATCCTTTGTTGCTGTCCTAAACGCCAGATGGCGTAATGGGTAGTAAGTAAGTAAGTGGTTCTGGCAGAGGCTCATATAGACGTTTGATGGGGGGGGAGGGGGTGGGGGGGGAATAAAAAGGCGAGCAAACCATACTAGAGCATTAGAGCCCGGTGCCAACCACCGGCTACAAACCTGGGAAGAGAAATAGGAGTAGAGAAAGTCCTTCCACTGCTGAGTGCTGATAGACTGGTACTTGAAGTGCTCGATGTAGGCTCTCAGGAACACGTCAAACACGGCTGAACGACATGTGGAAAGAAAAAAGACAAAAATGTGGTTAGGTTTTAGTTTTAGTAAGAGTTTTACGGCACTTGCAACACAATAAGGTCATATAAGTGACGAAGAACAGATTACATACATGTTACTAGAGAGTAACAAACACAACAAAAAAGGAGGGGGGATAAGGACGATAGATGTTAGAAAGGAAAGAAGGAGCAAACCACTCCCGAGCACCCGCCAACCACCCACACAAAAATATGGAATTATAAATTATAAGTATTTTACAGACCACGTCGGCACAATTTGTATCATAATTAAGAGGCTGGCTTTTTTGTTTTTAGTAAGATTTTTTTATAGTTTTAGAAAAAGTTTTACGGCACTTGCAACACATTAAGGTCATTTAAGTGCCGAAGAATAGATTATGTGTTACAAGAGAGTAACATACACAAAAAAGAAGGAGGGGGAATAAGAACGATAGATGTTTGAAAGGAAAGAGGAAGCAAACCACACCAGAGCACCCACCAACCACCCACGGAAAGAAACCAACCAGCACTGTCACGAGAGACTCACCAGCGCCCCCTCGGTGCAGTGCCACTGACTGTAGTGTCTTTAGGCCATTCCCAAAGGGGGGACATTTCTCGTTCAAGCATAGTAGAATTGTAAATGGGCTGACTCATGTCACGCTCATAACTGTGCCTGATCTAAAAAAGGGAACTGCTGCTTTTTCTTTCCAAATCCTTACTAATGTCATTTTCCTCTACTTTTTTTGTAAGTTTGTCACTCTCTTGTGATCCGCTATTTCCGGGGTGCCTAGACAGTCGAAGCAGACCTTGTGCTGTCGAAGCTAGAGAGGTGAGCAGTCTAAGTCTGATTCCCTGTAAAGACTTCTCTGTTGACACCCACCCCTTGGCGCTCATATGACGTTATACAGTTGATAGCGCCATAAAACCCTCTACGATAAAAAAAAAAAGACTCACCAGCGCCCCCTAGCAGAGTCTGCAGAAAGTTGAGAAGGGCAAATCCCTTCTCGTAGGGCACGGCCGAGAAAGCATCGTCTGGGTCCACTCCGCGCAGATCTGGCACCAGTTTTGTGTAGGGCTCCTCACCGCTGGCGATCTGTGAGCTCACCTTATCAACAACGACAATGACAAACATATCGAATAAATAAGAATAACCAATCAAGAACTTAATGTTTCTCTGTGACTTTGAAGTCTTACTAAAAATTTTTCATCTTAGTAAGAGTTTTACGGCACTTGCAAAACAATAAGGTCATATAAGTGCCGAAGATTAGAGGTGTTACAAGAGAGTAACATACACGATAAAGAGAGATAAAGACGATAGATGTTTGATAAGAAAGAAAAAGCAAACCACACCAGAGCACCTGCCAACCACCCAGTTATTACAATTTCTGTTTGTCAGTTAAGTTTCAATTTTAGTAAGAGTTTTACAGTACTTGCAACACAAATAGGTCACGATATAAGTGCTGCTCATTAAAAGTGTTACTGGAGAGTAACAAACAAAGAATGGGAGGAGAGATAAGGACAATAGATATTTGATAAGAAAGAAGGAGCAAACCACAGCAGAGTGCCTTCAAACCACCCAATGTTTTGGTTTTTTTCACTTTAGGTACTACGGCGCTCGCAACTGCATAAGATCATACGAGCGCCAAGGATTGGATCTCAACAAAGAAGTCCTTACAGGGAATCAGGCTGACTCTGCTCTCCTCTTTAGATTCAACAGAACAAAGTCTGCTTCCACTATCAACCACCCACTGTGACTTTCACACCTTTTAGAAATAACATCTCATCACATATTCCTTTATTTGTTTGTTTGTTTGTTTGTTTGAGTAAAGAGTAGAAAATCAACACATTGATCATTCAGACGTGTTATCGATAAAAATAGAGGGTAACATAAATGATGACACTATGAGGGGGGGGGGGGTGATGAGAGGGGGTGGGGGTAGGGGGGGGAGGCAATTGCAGCGAATTATAGGCGATTTCCAGGTTGAGAACCATAGATATGGGGCACATAGAAGCGGAACCAATAAATTGGCAAAAAGATATTATTAATCCGAATACAGGAAAAAGAGGCTAAAACAGCACCTGGCCATGGATGGCTGGTGCCTCTATAAATAATCATTGATGGTCTGGTCTGGTCTGGTCATTCAGTGAATCAAAAAATAAAAAAAGACTGGCAGAAACAATCGAGGGAAAGGAAAGAAGTAGGAGTTAACAGTGACACCATCCAATATCCTGCTGACTACAATAGTTTTTCAAACATTTCAACAACAAAATCTGACTATAATGTTTTAAAAAAGATTTTTCAAAAGACACACTTTATCTTATCAATACAACACACATTATCTTATCAATAAAACACATTATCTTATCAATAAAACACACTTTATCTTATCAATATAACACACATTATCTTATCAATAAAACACACATTATCTTATCAATAAAACACACATTATCCTATCAATAAAACCCACAGTATCTTATCAATACAACACATTTTAAATGCCTACTCTCTCTCTCTCTCTCTCTCTCTCTCTCTCTCTCTCTCAATCTCTCTCTCTCTCTCTCTCTCTCTCTCTCTCTCTCTCTCTCTCTCTCTCTCTCTCTCTCTCTCTCTCTCTCTCTCTCTCTCTCTCTCTCTCTCTCTCTCTCATTCTCTTTCATTTTTTTTTTTACACACCTCCCTCCTTCCATCACCAACACACAGAACAATGGTTCTACGGATAAACACTGTGTGTTGTGCTCATGAAATAGACGCGTGCAAGAGCAAACAAACGTTTTTTTCCCATTCAGCAAGGGCTACACGCAGAGAGGTAAGATAAGATAGTTTAGTTTTAGTAGAGGTTTTACGGCGCTCGCAACTGCATAAGGTCATATGAGCGCCAGAAGATTAGAGGTGTTACGAAAGAGTAACAAACATAAAAAAGAAGAAGGGGAGATAAGGACAATAGATGTTTGATAGGAAAGAAGAAATAAACCACACCAGAGCACCCGTCAACCACCCACTAAGATAAGATAACATAGAGAACACTTTATTATCCCACAGGGAAATTTTTCTTGGCTGAACAGGACCGTAAAAACGCATGCAGGTATACATAAAAAATTTAAGTTATATCTTACTCTCATTAAAATTCAGTATGAAAAGAGAAGCAAGGCTGACAAAATATACATATCACATCAGATGCATCTTTTTCAACCACAGCCACATGCAGGTACAAGAACTTTCAAATATATCATGTCAAAGATTATGTATTTCTCAGTTGTCCTTCTATACACTCATTTGCTCTGATGATCCTCCATAGAAAATCAATTCTTCCTTTCTTCTTTTTAAAAAAAAATAACCCATACACAGTAAACCACGTATAAAAAAACCCAACTTGTGTTTCGCGCGCCCATATAACCTTATGCAGTTGCGAGCGCCGTAAAACCCCATACTAAACTAAACTACTAAAAACTCTTTAAACCCTGAGTTTTTTCCACCGTTTCCCGTAGTTTTTTCTACAGTCACCTAAACCTGGTACACTTTTTCTCAAAAATACCCCAAAAGCCCGCCTCCAACTTCTGAATGGCGGAAGCATAGGTTTAGTCATTACTGAAAAAAACTTGGTTCGGGAATAGTGCTGAAAAACAAGCAAAAACTAGCACTAAATGAAACGAAACAGTTGTCACTAGTACCGGACCCTCCCAGCGTTGGATGGGGAACAGGGTAATTACTCCAGGACACCCCCAGCGTTCTATGGGGGAACAGGGTAATTACTCCAGGACACTCCCAGCATTCTATGGGGGGAACAGGGTAATTACTCCAGGACACTCCCAGCATTTGATGGGGAACAGGGTTATTACTCCAGGACACTCCCAGCGTTTGATGGGGAACAGGGTTATTACTCCAGGACACTCCCAGCGTTTGATGGGGAACAGGGTTATTACTCCAGGACACTCCCAGCGTTCGATGGGGAACAGGGTTATTTATTACTCCAGGACACTCCCAGCCTTCGATGGGGTTTAACCCCTTCACTGCCGGCTATGAGCTACATAGCTATGCCGGGGAAAATTGCTCCAATTACTACAAGCGTCACATAGAGCCCCTAACTCAGAAACTCAATTGAAATCATTATCTATCATCACTGTTACAGTCATTCATAATTTCGTCTAGAACTTCAGCAACTAAAAAAAAAAGGTTGAGAGACTGGTCTGTTGGATGCCATTGCAAAAAGCAAAAAAAAACCCAAAAAACGTAACACAACCGAGAACGTCAACACTTCACTTCTTCAAAACAATGAAAATGACGCTCAGATTCACGGGAGACTACTGTAATATCCATGATGATTAGTCGTGACACAGTTCTGTCCCTTTAAACAGTGGAAAATTACACAAAAAATGACTTCATCATAGACCCGCCAAATCAGCGGGCCGGGGCAGCGAAGGGGTTAAAGAGATAAAGGCCTCAAAATACTTCTCCGCTCCCCTCCCCCCACCCCCCCTTCAAGTACTCACAGCATCTTGCAGGTGTTGCCATCCCACATTAGCGTGCACCTGGTTGTAAGGCTCCCCGTGCAAACGGCTCAAAATCTTACGCTCCAAAAACACTGTGTGACCTTCATTCAACCTGCGGCCAAACAGAACAGAGGGTAGCAATTCAAACTCAGCACACGATTGCGGAAAAATGACGATAGTAAAAAAAAGCAGTAGTTCTCTGTTGAAGTTCAGGCAGAGTTATGAGCATGACATTAATGAATCAGCCCATTTACAATTCTACTGTACATAAGAACATGTTAATGTCCCCCCTTTGGGAATGGCCTGAAGACTGTAGCACCACCTGGGGGGAGGGAGGGAGGGGGGGGGTGGAGTGGAGTCTATTCTTTGCTGCAACGGTTAGGCTCTCTGCCACACAGCAAGCTAAAGACCTGAGTTCGATTCCCGAGTGGGGAGATGTTTTACTTTATCGAGTACCTCCATCTGTCGGCGGTGATTCTGTATCCGTCTCAGCCCGGGCAGGGTCAAAGCAATCCATGTTCTACGTGATCTAAAAGTATCACGACGCTTGGGAATTGGGCGCTGGTCAACTTTTGGGCATGTAGAGAAATTGGTATCATCTTAAAGCTTGTTCATTTATCTTGCTTTCCATGAAAAAAATACCAAATCTATCTTGAGGAGAAGTGAAGATAATCGCGATTGAAAGAGGTATGGGTGCTTGGTTTCAGTGGTAACAATAGCGAGAAAATGGCCGCTAAAGTTTGGTAGTTCCAATAGCTAAAGAGTCCTTGAAAACTGAAAAATTGACATATTTTGTGCTTTTAATCAACATTTCTCATCAAAATTGTTTTTAAAAAGTACATTTTCAAAACAGCATTTTTTTAAAAACTTAAATAAAAAGAATCATGTCTCAAACTCAGATTTTTCCAAAAAAGTTATTTTCAAAATCTAAAGCCAGCAGCTGTCCGTGCCAAGGTCAGATGAAGGTCACACAACGGTTCCGTGCACAAATACAACTCTCCCGACACGAACTTTTTATACAGGGAACTTTTTTTTCTTTCATATGCTCCCACAGAGGGGATTCAACAAATTGAGTTTGTTGATTTGTTGTTACATTTCTTGTTTTTAGTAGAGGTTTTACGTGGCTCGCAACAGCATAAAGTCATATGAGCGTCAGAAGATTAGAGGTAAACATGAGAAAAAACAAACATAAAAAAGAAGAAGGGGAGATAAGGACGATAGATTTTTTATAGGAAAGAAGGAGCAAACCACACCAGAGCACCCGCCAATAATAATAATAATAATAATAATTGCATTTATATTGCGCATATCCACGCTCAAGAGCATGATCTATGTGCTTTACAACTATTATTACCCCAGCAGACGCTCTGAGAACACTCAGAAACATTCTCGGCTTCCGCGGAAGCATACAGTGCAAGCTGCGGATTTCACGCGCTCAAACACTATCAAACTGACAAGATCGTTCACTGTCTATAGCCGGGTACCCATTTCCACCTGGGTGAAGTGAGGAAAATTTGTGCAAAGTGCCTTTCCCAAGGACACAATGTCGGGCCCTGATGGGATTCGAACCCCCGACCTTACGGTTGCGAGTAGGAGAGCCTAACCACTAGGCCACCGACGCCAACCACCAACGCCAAGAACTTTGTTCTTACATATGCTCCCACAGAGAAGATTCCACAAATACAGAACGTTGATTTGTTGTTTTATTTCTCTGTGTGTTGATAAATCAATAGCTCGGTTGTTTTTATTTTCTGGGCATTCAGAGGACCGTGTTGAAGAAAATCGTTATCCGGCCCACTCTCCGCCTTCTACGGGTGGGCTGACTCCGAGAACTTCCAAACTTTCGACTCCGAACATTTTTGGGTACGAGTTCGTCGAATTCGATTCCGAATCCGAATTCAGGTCAATATAGCAGCCAATCAAATTTTGAGGAAAGGCAAGGTCAATTAGGTCGGATTCGTGTCAAGTCATTGTAACTCCAGCCGTCGCGTCGAACAGGCTGTAGAGAATCCCGACGCCACGAACCAGTGCAGATAAAGGGGGCGGGGAGGGGGAGGGGGGAGGAGCGGAGAAGAGGTCACAAAGGTCGGGATTGAAGTCTTAAACAAATTAAATATGTTTTGCGCTCCTTGTGTTCCATTTTCCCCCTGGCTGCCCTAGTTCGGGAATTTGTGTTCGGACTCAGCCCAATGTTCGAGCTCCGACTCGGACCCCACAAATTCGTCAAATTCCGAACCTCGACTCGACTTCGCACATACTTACCGCCTTCTCTCAGTTACCCAGTGACCTTTTTTTACAGAGAGTTCGGTGACCCCTGCTTTATGCTATAAAAAGCTAGCTCACGCGAGCAGGCACAAGTAATATAGTGAAAAATTCTCTTTCGAATATGCATCTAAAAACTCTAAAGGTCTTGTAATTAAATTCCTGCATGTGGTTGAATGATGCATCTGATGTGACGTGTACATTTTGTCAGCTTTAACTTTTCTTTTCATATTGAAATTCTAATGAGAGTAATAATATAATTTACATTTTTATGTATACCTGCATGTGTTTTAACGGTCCTGTACAGCCAAGAAAAATTTCCCTGTGGGATAATAAAGTATTATCTTATCTTATCTTATCTATCGTAACACTTTGCAGTCACTTGGCGCAGAAAATGATCTGTTCCCGTCACCACGCGCAGTTCTGCGCCAGGCCTGAGAAGTCGCTAGCAGTCACTCTCCTGGCTGGGTGACCAGATGGGGTATTTGTACTGCTGGCTGTGTGACCAGATGGGGTATTTTGTACTGCTGGCTGTGTGACTGCAAAGTGTTAAAAATGCTTTCTGTTTGCTCTCCGTTTTCCTCCATTGACAAGACAAAGACTCACTGCCTCCTGCAACTTATCGCGGCTTGCCTGTGCCTTGAGGTCCCAGAACAGGGGATTCCCGTTCAGAGCCGTCACGATTTTTGTCTCCACAAACCTTGTGTGACCTTCATTTAACCTTCACGAAAAAAAGTAAACTTAGTTTAGTTTAAGTAAGTCTTTTACGGCACTTGCAACACAATAAGGTCATATAAGTGCCGAAGATTAGAAATGTTACAAGAGAGTAACAAACACCAAAAAAAAGAGGGGAGATAAAGACAATAGACATTTGATAGGAAAGAAGAAGCAAACCATACCAGAGCACCCACCAATCACCCACAGAGTAAACAAAAGTAAAAGTAAACAAACAAATAAACAAGAAGAACAGCATTCGAACAGTTTGCCAGAAACAAGAACAGCATTAGAACAGTTTGCCAGAAACAAGAACAGCATTAGAACAGTTTGCTAGAAACAAACGGATTTCTAAGTTTGTTTCTTTTTGTTTTGTTTGTTTAAGTTAAGAGAAGGACACGAAACAATAAGTCATTTAGTGCAGGGAAACATTTTTTTTAAAATAGTAGAGGGTTTTACAGCGCTCGCAACTGCATAAGGTCATATGAGCACCAAGGGGTGGGTGTCAACAGAGATGTCTTTACAGGGAATCAGACTTATTCTGCTCACCTCTCTAGCTCCAACAGCACAAGGTCTGCTTCAACTATCAAGGCACCCCAAAATAGCAAGTCACAAGAGAGTGACAAACATACAAAAGAAGTAGAGGAAAATGACAATAGTAAGGATCAGGAAAGAAAAAGCAGCAGTTCCCTGTTGAAGATCAGGCCCAGTTATGAGCGCGACATGAGTCAGCCCATTTATAATCCGACTGTGCTAGAACGAGAAATGTCCCCCCTTTGGGAATGGCCTAAAGACACTACAACCCGTGGCACTGCCCAGGGAAACATTTCGACAGACAGAACAAAACGAACGAAGGAAGAATAGAAAGAAGTAGGACCTACCAGAGGGGCCGTCTAACTACCCACACAGTTTGAGTTTTAAGGAAAGGGAAGTACGTCAACACAATAAGGGCACTTACTCAAGGAAAAAGATAGACCGAAACAGAAACACAAGAATCCATAAACAATTTCTGCAAATAGACTAATTTTAGTAAAAGAGTTTGCAACACAATTAGGTCATATAAGTGCTACAGATTAGAGACGTTACTGGAGAGTAATATACAAAAAAAAAAGAAGGAAGGGAGATTAAGACAATAGATGTTAGATAGAAAAGAAGAAGCAAACACACCAGTGCACCCGCCAACTACCCACTGCTACAGAGTAGCAGATAAGAAATATTACTAGAGATTGATATGAAAAGAAAAGAAGCAAGAGAGATTAAGATGTTTAATACGAAAAAAGAAGGAGCAGACCACACTGCCGCTCCAGCATAAAAAAAGTTGTACAACGCCCCGGAAGAGAGGAGAACGTACCAGAAATCCTCAAAGTTGTACAACGCCCCGGAAGAGAGGAGAACGTACCAGAAATCTTCAAAGTTGTACAACGCCCCGGAAGAGACGAGAACGTACCAGAAATCCTCAAAGTTGTACAACGCCCCGGAAGAGAGGAGAACGTACCAGAAATCTTCAAAGTTGTACAACGCCCCGGAAGAGACGAGAACGTACCAGAAATCCTCAAAGTTGTACAACGCCCCGGAAGAGAGGAGAACGTACCAGAAATCTTCAAAGTTGTACAACGCCCCAGAAGAGACGAGAACGTACCAGAAATCTTCAAAGGTGACATTTGTGACCAGGTTGCCCGTCCAGCTGTGGGAGATCTCGTGAGCGATGACGTCTGCCAGGGAACGATCGCCGGCCTGGGGACAGACCAAAACACCGACTGTCATAACTGACTATCGTACGTCATCACCGAATAAACTCGATTTTTAAGTACAGTTGAAATTGTCCAAGACGGCCACCCGTTGTCGGAGGAAAATGAGGGATGGGAGAGTGGGAAGCGAGGGAGGGAGGGAGGGAGACGAGAAAAGGAAAGGACAACATTTATAGAGAAACTAAAGTTGTTAAGAGTCAGATCTGAGCACTTGACACTTTTCATAAACCTGATGACAAGAACAGACAGACAAACACACAGATAAGCAGACAGACAACCACACGCAATGTTTTATGTTCTAGTAAGAGTTTTATGGCACTTGCAACACAATAAGGTCATATAAGTGCGGAAGATTAGAGATGTTACAACAGAGTAACAAACACAAAAAAGAAGGAGGAGAGATAAGGACGATAGATGTTTGATCGGAAAGAAGAAGCAAACCGCACACCAGAGCACCCGCCAATCACCCACTGTCAGTTCTGAGCACTTGATATTTTTCATAAACTTGATGACATGATCAGACAGACAAACACACAGACAGACAAGCAGACACACAATGTTTATACCCACCAGCAGCGTCGGGGTGACAAAGGTGATGCAGGGATTCTCCATCCCTCCGAACGGGAAGCTAGGGGGCAGCACCAGCAGGTCGTAGTCTCCCCACACGTACGGGCCCATCAAGTCTTCCGCCGCCCTCAGCATCGACTCCGTCTGTCCAACAGGAAAATCAGATTCACAACCCAACGCTCTTCATCATAGCCTTTCTCACCTTGCACCAGGGTATAGGCAAAGATCGTACATAAGATAGTTCACTCAGCCAAAAAAGTGTCCGCGGAAGTCCGCGCATTGGTTCAGATGGCGCTGCAGTCTTTATTTTGAAGCTCTCTTTCGTTTCTCCAGAAGAAGAGCAAGAATAGCACAGTTTGTTAGTTTCGCTTTGATTGTTTTTCACACAATACAAGTAGGGTAACTTTGATCTCAAAGTCCCCACTTTTTCGAAGAGGGAGCCACCAAAATTTGAGGACACTTTTTTAATTGACTCAAACAGAGGAGTGAACTATCTTGTTATGTACTATCTTTGGTATAGGCCACGGACAAACACTTTAATAATAATAATAAATAGCATTTGTAAAGCGCATGCCCCAACTCGAAAGCAAGCTCTATGCGCTTTACACTATAATTTTACCCCAGCAGACCATAGAACACTCAGAAACATTCTCAGCTTCCAGGGAAGCATACAGTGCAAGCAGCTGGTTAAGCCCTCAACACTAACCAACTGACAAGATCTTTCGCTGTCTATAGCCGGGTACCCATTTTCACCTGGGTGAAGTGAGGAAAATTCGTGTAAAGTGCCTTTCCCAAGAACACAACGTCGGGCCCGCAGCTCGAACCCCCGAACTCGCAACCTCCCGATTACGAGTCAGGTAGCCTAACCACTAGGCTACCGACTTTCCACCTTTCCCTATCCTGGGCTAGCCGCCTGATGTCACTCCATGTCCTCCCACCCTTCTGTACATCAGTCCCTGTGATTCTTTCCCAGGCCCAGGCTCCACGACCCAACGCTCTCAGACCAAACAAAATCTTTGTTGGTTCGAGCAAAGAGAAAAACACCAACATAGTAACTTTTTTTTTTGGCAAGTGTTTTACGGCACTCATCATCATCATCCGGTGCCTTGCGACTGGCGTGGGCAATCATGGACCTCCACTTCACCCTGTCCTGCGCTGCAGCAATGGTGTCTGTTGTTCTTGCTGCTCCCAACCATGTTGTCATCTTGTCCAGTAGCTTTTCCCTCTGTCTGCCTCTGCCTCTCTTTCCATCAAACTTTCCTGTTGTTACAATATTCTTTAATGCTTCTTTCCGTATTGTGTGTCCGAAGAATTTTGCCTGTCGTTTACGGCACTAGCAACACAATAAGGTCATATAACATAGGCCACTAACTACTGCCTAAACTTTCATCAAAAGCTTAAATCTTGAATATAGGACCAAAAAACCCCCCAAACTCTATACTAACACAAAGATGTAAAGAAATAACTTTTTAAAAATTATTCAAACAAAACAAGAACAAATACCTCAGCAAATTCATAAGCAGCCGCGTCAACCAGCTCTCTCTCCGACCAGACTTTGGAGCGTGGCCCCAGGTTTCTGCAAAACAAAAACAATGTCTTTAGTTGTTAGTCTTAGTAGAGTTTTTACAGCGCTCGCAACTGCATAAGGCCATATGAGCGCCAAAGGGTGGATGTCAACAGAGAAGTCTTTACAGTGAATCAGGCTTACTCTGCTCACCTCTCTAGCTTCAACAACACAAAGTCTGCTTCGACTATCAAGGCACCCCAGAAAGAGCAATTCACAAGAGAGTGACAAACATACAAAAAAAGTAGAGAAAAAAATACGATAGTAACGACTGGGAAAGAAAAAGCAGCAGTTCCCTGTTGCAGTTCAGACACAGTTATGAGCATGATATTGATGAACCAGCCCATTTACAATTTTACTGTGCATAAGAACATGTTAATGTCCCCCCTTTGGGAATGGCCAACAGACACTTCAGACAGTAGCACTGCCGCGGGGGTTAAACAATGTCTTAGTTACACATAATGGCCAAAAATGTCAATTAGAATTTTGTAATTCTAAGGTAGTGATTTGTTTAGTTTTTCCCACTGATTTACCTACTTGTTTAGTGAAGTATATAACACATTATGTAAAGTATCGAATGAAAAAGAAACCAAAAGTGGAATTTGAAACGAACAATCATAATATTGGAGCAAAACGTGGATACTGTTTTTGAAAACCTGGACTAGAATAGTTTGAGTACAGTGCAGCCTCTCTATAACGACTTTTGATATAACGACATCCTCTGTATAACGACATGGTGCTCAGGTCCCCATTTTTTAAAAAAATATATCATTAGTAATTTTTGGTTCCCTCTCTATAACGACAACTCTCTACAACACTTTTTTCTGGTCCCGACAATGTCGTTATAGAGAGGCTGCACTGTATTTATAGAAGCGTTAAGTTGAGCTGATGACAAGGCTCGTTTTAGGGAATGATTTAACTCACTCGTCCCCCACCTCGCAACTGTTGCGAGAAAGCTGGAGAACCGCCCCGTCCCCATGCTCGCAATTGACGTGAACTTGGACTTATTGATTTTTTTCTCGTCAAAGGGCATTAAAAGCTGCAATAGTGAGTGGTGGGTATCATCTACAGTCATTTCCCTTGAATTTAAGCCAAGTAGAAAGTTTCTAGTGTGAAATGTTAATTTTTTAAAGAACTTTTCTGTGTGCTCTGTATCGTGGAAGGAAAAGAAATCAAATGAGGTAGTGCTTGATGAAGCCCATGTGGGACGCTCAATGTTAAAAACAATCAGGAAACGACAAATGCAGTTTTTGGGACACCTGAATAGACATAAGGGTCTTGAACATCTAGCTCTCACTGGCAAAATTGAGGGCAAGCGAGGCAGGGGTAGGCCCAGAACAACATACTTGGGGAACCTAAACAAATGGGTAACAGGGAAAGATCAGGGAAACGTAGCTTTTCTGAGAGCATCCGAGCAAAGGAATGAATGGAAAATCATGATCGCCGATGTCTGTCGCAGATCTGGCACTGGATGATGATGATGATGATGATGATGATGATGATGATGATGATGATGATGATGTGTGCTCAGTGTAAACAGTTACATTACTCAATACATTACGTAGCGCTTATGGCAAAAGTATAAAAAGTCACCAAAATTCACAAACACAAAGTATTCCAAATCCAGTATTATTTTCCCCAAGTGAATCCACTTGTTTTCATCATGTGGGGAAAAGCATGGCTTTCACTTTATTACTTTGGTAAGGGTGATTTTTTTTTTAAATACCCTTAAAACTGACGGGTAGTACAGCCTGGTCAATCAAAATTGAACGGGAATGGGGGAGTTAACTCGAGCCATTTCACAGATTTTCTCACCTGCTCTCCAAGTCTCCAGCGGCGATGGCCAGGAGGTAGCTAGGAATGGGCACCTTCAGGGAGAAGCTAGTGGTCAGCTGGTCAGGGTCTCCGACCACCGGCTCCGTGCCCAGGCGGTTGGCACTCATCAGCACTGTCATCACCTTGGGGGCTCGCACCTACCAGGGAGGGGGGGGAGGGGAGGGGGGGGGGAAAAGTAACGAGGATACTGTGTCATTGTCATATATGGTCACTTTTAAGGACAAGCGGGCTAACCCAGATTTCGGGTGTTTCTGGAAATCTTGACCTACCCCAAAAGTGAGCATTGCCCTACGTATAGGAGAAGTTTAGTTTCATTGGTGTGTGTATATAATTTGGTTAAAGAGAAAACTCTCCTTATCTTTTAAAGAAACTGAACAAGGGGCAAAAACTTTACTTTTGATTTTTTCAAAACAGCATTTTTCGGGAAAGCCCCCTTGTGCTTAAAAGCGACCATATGTGTCAAGACACAGTGGAATCAGGCGTTCGTTCATTTAAGGACATGTGGAGTTATTGGTATCATCTGAAATCTGATTTATTTGCCTTGCTTCCGATGAAATAAATATCCATTATCGTGAATAGAATTCAAGACTTTTGCGACTGAAGTAAAAGAGGTCGCCTTGGTTTCAGTCGTGAAATTAGCGAGAAAATGGCTGCCAAAGTTTGGTAACACCAATGGCTAAAGAGTTTTTGAAACTGGGAAATGGCATAAAATATATTTTGTACCTCTAATCAATATTCACTTGGAAATGTGTTTTTATATAGACCTTTAAGAGATTAAGCCAAAAAATAAAAATTCAATTAAAATTTCCAAACTGGTAGAAAAACATGCATTTCTCCAATTTCGTTATTTTGACGAGCGCCTGATTTCACAACGCTGCCTCACATATGGCTTTTTTCTTTCTATCTCTGTCTCTCCCATCCTCCATATGTCATATCCTCTCTCTCTCAAACTCTTTCTCCCTCTCTCTCTCTCTCTTTCTTCCTCCCTCTATATCTCTCTCTCCTCTCTCATCATCATCCGGTGCCAGATCTGCGACAGACATCGGCGATTATGGTTTTCCATTCATTCCTTTGCTCGGATGCTCTCAAAAAAGCTACGTTTCCCTGATCTTTCCCTGATACCCATTTGTTTAGGTTCCCCAAGTATGTTGTTCTGGGCCTACCCCTGCCTCGCTTGCCCTCAATTTTGCCAGTGAGAGCTAGATGTTCAAGACCCTTATGTCTATTTAGGCGTCCCAAAAACTGCATTTGTCGTTTCCTGATTGTTTTTAACATTGAGCGTCCCACATGGGCTTCATCGAGCACTACCTCATTTGATTTCTTTTCCTTCCACGATACTCTTAACAGTCTCCTAAGAAACCACATTTCTGTTGCTTCTATTTTATTTTCACTCCTCTCTAACCATTACCAAATCATTACACTACAGACAAATTTCCCCCTTTTATTTCCTTTTTTTAAAATACAAGACCAGATGCAAAGAAGAAGAAACACAACATCTGGCTTACCTTGGCTGTGTATGGAAACTTCACACCTGGTGTATCCTGGCAAGGGAGCAAACTCCGTGCATGAATAGCCTGAGGGGATGGAAGATATATGGACAAGTAACGAATCCATAGAAAAAAAAACCCAGATCGACTGCTTAGTGTAAGATTCCACCATGCGCTGTTTTGAAAAGTAAGTATTAGGAGTCTCCGTCTACAGAACAAAGCTCATGATTAAGGCATCAATGAATTCAAGATCCCATTCATCTGAGGCACAAAAACCAACCTTGACCCTGTGAATCTTGTTGACCCAGTTCCTGCCTGAGCGTATGCTACCATAACCGTACCCTCCTAAACAACACTGACCCTACAACTCAATGTGCAGGGATCTCACCAATAATTTCTTTTTTTTAATTTTATTAACTATTGCTTCAAAAAATGTATAAAACTGCAAAAAACACTTGACATAAAAAGCATATACTGAGGATGACTGAAAAATCCTACTTCACAATCCAAGAAATAGATTTAGCGCAAAGTAGCCATTTCTGGAAACAAGAGAGCTATTCCATGAAGGTGACAAAGTCATAGACATCTATTTATGGTCGCTTTTAAGCACAAGGGGGCTATCCCGAAAAATGCTGTTTTGAGATAATCAAAGGTAAAGTTTTTGCCCCCTTGTTCAGTTTCTTTAAAACAAAACGAAAGTTTTCTATATAACCAAACAAATATACACACTAATGAAACCAAACTTCTCCTATAGGTAGGGAAATGCCCACTTTTGGTGTAGGTCAAGATTTCTGGAAACACCCAAAATCTGGGTTAGCCCGCTTGTCCTTAAAAGCGACCAAATAAAGTGGGGAGCAGCAACCACTGACCTGGCACTGGCTGTACAGATAAGGCTGGCGTTTGCCTGCCGTCTGCTCGGGTCTCATCCAGTCGAGAGCAGAGGCTGTGGAAGACGTCTCATACTTTATGCTCACTGTGAAGCTGGAAAAAATAGAAACAGTTTTTTGGGGGGGTTTTTAGTAAAGGTTTTTCGGCGCTCGCAACTGCGTAAGGTCATATGAGCACCAGAAGATTAGAGGTGTTACAAGAGAGTAACAAACATAAAAAAGAAGAAGGGGATATAGGACGATAGATGTCTGATAGGAAAGAAGAAGCAAACCACACCAAAGCACCCGCCAACCACCCACATAGAAACAGTGACATGGGTTTATTGTATTACATTATCCTGGACAAATTATACTGACGACTTACAGAAACTAAACAGAGCAGTCTCATGGATAAATGTTCCTGTGATACATTCAAAGATTGAAAAAGTTTAACACCACCAATCAACACAATTTGTGAGGCATCGTGGTGAAATCAGGCATTCGTCAAAATAATTTAAATTCGAGAAATCTGCATTTTTCAGCCAATTTTGACTTTTAAAAATGTTTTTGTTTTTAGGCTCAACACCTTGTATATCCATTGAAAAACACTTTAATGTGTGGATTTTATGGAAAAAACATGGATTAAAGACACAAAAATGTAAATTAGCAGTTTCCAAGGACTCTAAAGCTATGGAAGTAACTAAACTTTGGCGGCCATTTTCTAGCTAATTTTACTTCTGAAACCAAGCGACCACACCTCTTTCAATCGCAAATATCTCGACTTCTATTCAAGATAAATGGATTTTTTTTAATTGAAATCAAGGCAAATGAAGAACCTTTCAGATGATTCCAATAACTCTATAGGCCCAAAAATTTATGAGCCCCTGATTCCACTATGTCGAGACACATTTAGATCATTTAAAGGGCTGGTTGATCAAACCCTGCCTGTGAGGGCCAACTAGCACTGAAGGGATATAATATATATGTAGCATCCACACTACAGGGACACTTGAGACAAAAACTTCCTCAATAAGGAATCAAAGTCACATCACATCAAAAATGGCCATTTTGACTTTCTAATAGCAGAATGTTTAAAAGTTGAGCAGCAACGTCGTTTATTGTACGAAAAGGCGGAGCCTAACCATCACCCACACCAAAGATGGGGGTAACCATTTTTGTGTGGAGGTTGTACAAGAATTAGAATAAGTGAAAAAAAAAAAGTCGTTTCTGAAAAAAAGAAACAAAAAATTGAGACTTTGGTCATGCCGGATTCTTCCTGTCATGATTTCTACTAGCTGGGTACCCCGTTCGATGAACGGACTTAAAAGAATCGATCGTCAAGTCATTGTGGGACCAGTGCGCATTGCATGTGAACGGAAACTTCACTTGTTTACAATGGCATCTTAGAAGACGGACTTTCCAAAGATTAGATCTAAACAAAACTAATGTAAAACTGAAAATTAAAATACAGTGACTTCAGATTCCTTAATATAACTGCCCACCCTTTAAATGATTCTGAACCACCTTAATTTTTTCAAATTTGAAAATTAAGTGGTTCGGAAGTTTTAGGCGACCAAAGTGAAATTTTTTTATATATAATAAATAATATATAAAGAAGACAGCACAGTGAGTGAGAGTGACAGCTTATAATTACATGAGACGAGAGAACAATTAGCCCTGTCTCTAACTGACCTGTCAAATCAAACACAAGTCATGGCAAACATTTTTTCAATGATATATATATTATAATGGTATAAAATAATTCTCATGATCTCACCTGTCTGTTTTCACTGTAGCAATCTGTATGGTAAGCTTGGACCCATACGGCACATTAAGGGGGTTGGAGATATCGAAGGGAAGCTTTTCATCCGACTCTTGGAGGGTCACTTGTTCTATTTTCAATTTATGTACATCCAGAACCTGGACAGACACAGAGTTAAGGTTAATAATGACATTAGATTGACAGTCTTTGATTAAAGCAAAATCAACTTGGAGGGCAGGAAAGAGCAGGAAAGATTTATATAACCGGAATTAAGTTCACACAGGCAAAAAAAAAAAAGTTGCACAATTTTACTTGAATCTGAACAACTTTTTATCAGAAGTATCAGGCACTTCATATTTAATTAAATTTTGTGTTTTGTGGTTTTAGTAACATTTTTCGGCGCTCGCAACTGCATAAAGTCATATGAGTGCCAAGGGGTGGATGTCAACAGAGAAGTCCAAACGGGGAATCAGGCTTAAGTTACTTTGCCCACCTCTCTAGCCTCAACAGCACAAAGTCTGCTTCCACTATCAAGGCACCCCGGAAATAGCAGTTCACAAGAGAGTGACCAAAATACAAAAGAAGTAGAGGAAAAATGATAATAGTAAGGGATGAGGAAAGAAAAAGCAGCAGTTCCCTCTATGTTGTTCCGGTACAATATATGTCATGACATTGATAAATCAGCCCATTTACAATTCTACTCTGTGCATAATATCCCCCCCTTTAGGAATGGCCTCAAGACACTTTTTTGCTCAACACATCTTTTAATGTTAAGTTCATTTGAAAGCACAGTGTGGATTTTAATGAAAAACGATTAAAGGCACAAGAAGCACATATATGCAGATTCCGAAGATTTTTTCCAAGGCCTCTTTAAAAGCATTAAAGTAAGTCATCAAACTTTGGTGGCCATTTTCTCACTAACTTTACCTTTGACACCAAGTGACTCCTACCTTCTAAAGTCCCAATATCCCTACTTCTTTTCAAGACAAATGGGTAATTTTACAATCAAAAGCAAGGCAAATGAACAAGTTTAAACCTATGTCTCCTTAAAAGCACAATGCTAGCGTGCTAGTGACTAGTTGCGAGGTGTGAATCCTTTTATACGATACGCGACCACATCGCGCCCAAAATTTTCAGTAACTTTGCGCGCCACAAAAGCGACAAAACTGTCTCCTTATGCACGACAAAACTGTCTCCTAATGCGCGACTTTACATTTGGTCGCGTGTTAAACCCTCGCCTGACTGGCAATTCACAGTCTAAGAGAGACAGCGGCAAATTTTACTGTCAAGATGCACAAAGACGTACAAAGTCCATCAGATGGGAGTTCATCGAGCCACTGACATTTTTTATTCCGAACATGGCCAGTCCTCCTCCTCCTTCTCCTCCTCCTCCCTCTCCTCCTCTTTCTCCTCCTGCTGCCCTTCAAAAAAACAACCAAAACAACAAAATTAGATTCACAAAACTTGCACTGTGTCCAATTGAAGATGAACATGATCCTAAACACAAACACAAACACACCTCACCACATCACACACGACATGTCGACCGGCACTCCTTGGCTAGCTATTTCGACCCAAATGGTGATGCTCTAAACCTGTCACATCCCCAGTCTGTTGCACGCAACGAGACCCGTGATCGCTACATGGACCAATCGCAAGCGACAGTCGCCCACGACTAAACATCACAGGGCGCGTAAGGAGATGGTTTTTTTACAATCTTGCTTGATTGATTTTAGAGCGACAGGGACCATTCGTGACGTCGCGTTGCGCATAAGGAGACAAGCTCTAAAGATGGTATGAACAATGACTCCATAATATGCCAAAAAAAGACGAGTGCTTGATTCCACCGTATTTCATCAAAATCTAAAAGAAGGCCTAATTTGTGAAATATAAAAAGTCATAATTTGTCATCACGTGTCGTAAAAAAACAGTTTTAAACTGAACAAAATTAGTGCTGTACGTGAGCATGAGAACGGAGTGAAAGTAAAATGATACCAAAATCGCTAGCATGATAAACTTCTGGATTTCTTCTCTGGATGTAAACAAATGGATCGTGGACTTTAACGAACGGAACTACAAGATCACCTTGTAAAAGAGACGAAGCCAGACTGTAACTTACCAAAGTGTCTGAAGGAATTCTCCTTTCTATCTTCAGATGTGCGAACCCTCGTATGATGTGGGCATCGAAGTCAATGGAGACATCCCAGTCCAGAGACACAACCTTACATTTTTCAGGCTCCGAATAAGAATTCGGATCAGAAGCACTCATCGCAGCTGCCATTGTCAAAATTGTAATTGCGTTTATTCTCGGCTTAGATCTAGAATCTACTCCTCTCGTTCTGTTTCAATCTGTGTTAAATCGCAATCCACCAACGCTTGTTCTCTTGTAACATACGAAGTTGCCCAGCTGACTGACAACAACCCACCGGCACCTCAAGTTTTAGTAGTCTCCCCTTGCCAAACACTTTCTTCGGAATGAAATTATTTCGCCGTTATAATTTCCTAGAATTGGATTGGCGTTTACCGAGGAAATCTTTACGCCAAAGGAAACCCTTATTTAAATACGACATGTAGGCCTACATGTATTCTAATACTCCCCCTCCCGAGCGTGCGAAGCTAGCAGAATGTCATGACGACCTTTGAAGTCTGTTTCTTTTAAAATAGGCCTTGAGATCGCGGAGTGGTCGATTTTTTTTTTTTTTGGGGGGGGGGGGGGGGGGGGGTGAATAAGGTTAGTAAAATGCCGCCTACTTGAAAATTGAAATTTCTAGGAACTGGAAAGTACAAAAAGTAAGTAAAAATAGACAGAAATTAGAGCAACACTGTGTTGATAAGCACGTAACGTTAGAATATGTCGAAATTCTGTAGAGACAAAACAAAATCTCATTAATTGTCCTTTAAATTTAAAGGGTCTATGTCTGTTAACGCAAAAGGGACCGCAATATTTATTAAAAACCATCTGTTAAGTTTTAGTTGTTGTCCAAAGCTTTGTAGCCCTCAAATGGCATATTCGTCGCAAATTTAATACGTAATAATAATAATAAATGCATTTATAGAGCGCATATCCATGCTCAAAAACGCTCTATGCGCTTTACAACTATTATTACCCCATCAGACCCTCTGAGAACACGCGGAAGCATACAGTGCAAGCTGCAGATTTCACGCGCTCAAACACTATCAAACTGACAAGATCGTTCACTGTCTATAGCCGGGTACCCATTTCCACCTGGGTGAAGTTGGGAAAATGTGTGCAAAGTGCCTTCCCAAGGATACAACGTCGGGCCCCTTACGGTTGCGAGTCCGAGAGCCGAACCACGTATTTTGTCTGAGCTTTGGACTACTCCAACTCCAAGGACCTTTTTAAAAACAATTTATAATCTGTAACCTCCTTGGCCTACTCTCAAACTAAACTCAAATTCAAGATAACGGCTTTGTCACTGGAATATAAAATACAACCAAAGATTATCTTAGGGAATCATCATGTTCTTGTCAGGTTTGAGTTTTAACCATCGAGGTAGATATCTAGAACAAAACCCGTGAATAAACAAGGAAAATGCTACCTTTAGGTAAGAGGGAGAGAAAGGGGGGAAGAGGAAGTAAAGAGAGAGGGGGAAAGGAGAGAGGGGAGCAGAGGAAGAAAGAAAGAGAGAGACGAGAGAGGAGGTGAAGACTGACAGGCAGGCAGGCAGGCAGGCAAGCAGATAGACAGACAGACAGACAGACAGACAGACAGACAGACAGACAGACAGACAGACAGA